CTCCTGCTGGAGCTGGAGACTGAGCTCCTAGCGCTGTGTGTCCTGGGCGGGAGGCAGGGAGGTGACAGGATTTGCTGCACTGCCCTGAGAAAGGCTGCTAACCAATGGATGAGGATCAGAAAGAATGCGGGCAGCATTGTGACTGCTGCCTCTGTCACTCACCAAGGAGGGCACTGAGGAGGGGAGGGGAGGGGGGCGGAGGAGCAGAGAAGGCCAGCAGGGGAGCGGGGGTTTAATCCCTCTTCCCGGTTGCTTCTCCCCTGTCTACAAAGCCTCACACCTGGGATTGAAGAAGCTGGGATTTGAACCCGGGATATTGCACCGTGAGTGGCCTCTCCTGGCTGAGTGGTTTCTGGTAGCTGCTGTCCATGTCTCTAACTACACTTTGACTAAAGGACATAGCTTTCAGGGTTCATGTCCCACGCTGCAACCTGTCATAGTGTTGTGGCAGCTCTGCCTACCCAAAATGGATCCGGAACCCAGGAAGGATGTCACTTGACAAGGTTGTAGTGCAAGGGAGCCTGGGCTCAGTCCCCATCTACCTTTTTTTTTGGGGGGGGCACACAACTGATTTATGACCAGCTACAGGCTACTGGACAGAACACTCATTTAATGGGTGAGGTGATTAGTTTTGTCAATTTGACACAAGCTAGAGTCATGTAGGAATCCCAAGAGGGACCCTCCACTGGGGAATTGACTGGAAAAGGCTCTGTGGCCATACCGGAAGTGGGCTGTCAGTGGTGGCAAGTCCTTGCTTCATGCATGAGCCAAACACTCAGCCGCCACACTCAACAGGCAGACATTCAATAGACATGGGCCGCCTTTGACGTTACTGCCTTACTGGGCAGCAAGGCCAGAGCCAGGCGCTTCGGGTGAGAGGCACAGGACCTCAGCGTGTGCAAGGGCAGGGGCTTCCTTGAGTTTCACACTGGAGAAGTCTCTGTCACTCCTCACCCTAGGGCCAGCTCTGTTACCTCACCAACAGTGGGAGATCTTTCCACAATCGCACATTCATGTCCGTGTCTCTCTGCTCCTTTTTCCTCCCCACATGAAGAAGCAAATACCTCAGGAAAACCTGGGCTGTCAGCTGAATAAGCCAATGGGAAGAGGAGCTTGCTAGTTTTTCCACTCTCCCTCTGCACACTGGGCTTGGCCACAGGCAGTGTTGGAAGAACAGCCAAAGCATGGCAGGCCAGAGGTCATCCTCATGAGTCCCTTCCTCAACTGCCTCTTCAGCCTGTCTGAGTTGACATGGTGGCCCCAAGTGTTGAGTGGAACAATGGGCTAAAGTGCTCCAGTCCCACGTAGCGGACCCTGGGGGGCCTCCCTGGACTAGGAGGGAGGACACGATAGGGACTCAGCACTGTCCACACCCACTCAGTTGTCACCCTTATCAGCCTTAGACCTGGCGAGCAGCCTGTGTGCTTAAAGGACACAGGCCCCTGGGCCTCCACATTTGGCTACTGTTTAGACCATCAGCTCACTTTTCAGATGGCAAAGCTGGCCCTGGGAGGTGCCAGAATTTATCTTTGTCAGCACAGGACACTATCACTGGCACAGAGCCACAGTAGCAGAGGCAGGAGGCCTTTCTCTGTAGCCTGACCCATTTCTTACTGCACTTGCAGGGGAAATGGGATCCCACAGGGATGCCAAGCCAGAACCGGCCTCATAGACACCTCATCCACCTGGTGTCCAGCATTGGGGCTGGAGGGAGGTTTCGTTCTGAGTCTTGTGTGGCTTCAATGAAAGGCTCTCCTGGCTAGGTTTGGGGCTTGGCCTGGAACACTCTCCTGAGTGCTGTATGGGAAGTGGTAAAGCCCACTTTTCTGAGTACCAGCCTGGCTAAATAAGTGCTCAGGCTTCATGCATGAGCCAAATACTCAGCCGCCACACTCAACATTCAATAGACATGGGCCGCCTTTGACGTTACTGCCTTACTGGGCAGCAAGGCTTCCTACCGCTGCGTGGGCAGCTCAGGGGCGGGGGGGAAGTCCTAAGTGGCATCCTGGTCAGGACAATGCCTTTGGGCTATAAAGGGAAGCTTGGTAGCAGACATGCTATCATGTCTAGTCATGCTCAGGTAGAAGGTTGTGTTCCTAGTACATGGCTGTGGAGCATGTGTATATAAAGAGTGTCTGGTGTGAAGTGAGGGGGGTCCTGGAAGCACCACGGGCTCCTGGTGGGGACAAAGTCCCCTCTCTATGCTGTGCAAGGGCTCTCACCTGGCCCTGAAGGAGCTGGCCACCAAGGTCAGGCCGTTGACTTCACTTGGTCATTCTCATGGCAGAATGGTTCTGGTAGGTGCTGTTCATACCTCTATCCACAGAATGAGCACAAGGCATGGACTTCATGGTTCGTCTTGCACCCTGCAGCCTGTGATGACACTGTTGTGCCTCTGTGTCCCCCAGGCAAGCAGTGGGGCCCAGGAAAGGGGTTGCTTCCAAGGTCACATGGCTGGGTTGCTGTATGAGGGAGCCTCAAATTTCACAGCCTGGGAGTACCCACCCAATCTATAAAAGAGCATGTCTTTGGCTTTGACAAAGTTGGAGGGCGTATGCTGCTCTTTCTGGAGAGTCCTCTGGTATTGATGGGGAAGCCACAGTTTATTTTCTGAAAGATAGTCAGAGCCCTGAGAGGGTTGATACGTTCCCTGCACGTCCCCGGGCAGGAAATTAAACAAGGCTGGTACTGAGTAAATGCGAGATGAAGTTTACACAGCTCTTTATACAAGCCAGAGTGGCCTTCCATTAGGGAGCTTTGTGTGCTCACACATTTTAAGTCTTTGGAAAGATTGTAAGAGGGGGGCTCAGAGGTCACCTTTGACCGGCAGAGGTCACAGGGCTGTGAGCTCATAAAGACCTCTCTCCCATTACATAGTTTGTTGAGTAACATGAGTGTCTTTCCTGATGCCTGCCTGCAGAGACCCAAGGGAGGCGAGGTAAGGACCCCCTCCTGCCGTCACAGCCATTTGGCAGCTGTTGAGTGGAAACTGGGGGAGATGGGGAGCACTGAGCCCCAGGATTTTATAAACTTTGCTGAAAATGGTGTGGTGTGTGTGGTGAAGCCATTTCTGTTTCTTGTGAATGTTTGGGGAATCACTATGAAACCACTAGAGTCAAACAGAGGCTGGGGATGAAGGTCAGAGGTAAAGAGACTGTGTGTGTATGGGGCAGGCAAGTTCATACTTCCCTTCTGAGTGCTGAAGATACCCTTCTTGCAGAACATATTTTTGTTTTGGGGGTTTGTTTGTCTGTCTGTCTGTCTATCTAACTATCTATCTATCTATCTATCTATCTATCTATCTGTCTTGGAGATAGGGTCTCTGTGTAGTTCTGACTATCCTAGAACTCACTTTATAGACCAGGCTGGCCTACAACTCAAGAGATTCATCTGCCTCTGCCTCCCAAGTGCTGGGATTAAAGGCATGCACAAGCAACGCCCGGCCATTTTTATTTTTTTTTTAACCAGTATCTGATTAACCCTGAGGACAAAGAGGAGTAGCTATGTTTCTGGCATAGTAAACCCCATTTTCTTTGGGACTCCTCTCATGCTCACCAAGCCCGGCTCTCCGGCCTGTTGCCTATTCTCGTTTGGAAAACTGTTTCATTTTGGAGTGTTGGGGACATTTGTTGTTTATTTCTTAAAATGACCATTCTAAACTAGAGCGAGGTCATCAGCCACCATGGTTGTCAAGATTGTTTGTGAACAACAGCTGCCTATTTCTAGGGGTGCAGTTTGGTTCTTCTGGGGGCAGCTTCAGCAACACTGCATTCACTGCCTAGTGACGTTTCTTCTTCCATCCCTTGATTTCTTTTGATTATGAAGAGAAAATGCTCCAATGCAATGCTGTTCATGGGGACCTCTGAGAAGCATGGGGCACCGTGATGAATGTGCTGGCAAGGAGCCACTGCTGTGACCCTGGAAGGAAGAGCCTGAGAGGAAGCACTTCAGAGTGAAGCACCTGCCCACGGCCCAGGCCTGGGGGGAGTTCCCAAGCAAACACGCACGCCCCATGGGAGCCTCTCTTGAGCTTGCTGATTCCTCAGAAGGCTCCCATTCTTTTGCTCAGGCTGGGGCTGGTGATCCTTTGTGGTCTGTGGAGTTCTGGGAGAAGACACAGGAGGCAGGGGCTCACTTTTCCTCAGAAGCCTTCTCTGAGCCTTACTCCAGCCAGCTGGCCCTTCCTGCCTGCCCTTCTGAATCTTGCTAGTGTCTGGGCTGGGTAAGCACCCCCTTGTGGTCAGTGTCTCCCCTTTTCTCTTTTCTGTTTGGTGTTTTAAGGCATGGTCTCACACTGTAGCCAAGCTGTCATTGAACTTGTGACACTCCACGTGCCTCAGCCTCCCAAGTGCTGGGAGGTTACACAGGCGAGTGCCTCACCTGGTTGAGTGTGCCACTTCTGTGGTCATTAGTGTGAGGTCATGGTGAATCCCAGGCTTCGGTCCTTGTTGGGCTGACCACTGCTCCCTCCCTTTCCTATTTTTGCTGGGGTAGCTTCTGCCCAGGCCCAGCCTGTGTTGCTGAGCATGGAGACCACAGCAGCTTCCTGCCTTTGCTGTTCCCAGGGCCATTCTCAAGGTGGGACTAGGTCGAGTAAAGCCTGGAGTTTGTACATCTAGGGGCCCTCTCTGAGCATAAGACTCAGGACTCG